GTAAGAAGAGACAGAATCTTGTTTCAGTTCTGTTTACTCAATTCCTTTTTTTTTTTTTCAGTTTGGATGAATTGTTCTGTGCAAATCAAAGTATGTTAAGACACTACAATCTGGGACCTCCTCGGGAAGAAAATCGATTAGATACGTTTACCAATTTGAGTTGTTTGGGAAGAACGATATTGCATATATCTTTAATCAACCAACAACCAAACAATTTCGGTATTAAATGTGACATAGTGGTGGTAATGAAGGATGGAATTGTTTCCATGAAAGCTTTGGCTACACACTTGACCATTTGGTCGTTTATCAATTTGTTATTTTTGCTCTAGAATGGATCAAATTTGTGTTGAAAGCTTGTTATGTGCAATTTCATGTTCTTTGAGAAGTATCTGTTCGATGCAAACGATGGAGTTTCTTATTGGTCAGTGCTTAGTCTTTCATGAATTGATTTGATTGCTAATAAGAGTACGGTTTCTACTTCAACGGGGAGCTTTTGCAAATGGGTGCGCCAAAGCAGAAATGGACAGCTGAAGAAGAAGCTGCCCTTAAAGCAGGAGTGATCAAGCATGGGGCCGGAAAATGGCGCACAATACTCACAGATCCAGAGTTCAGCTCAATTTTGCATCAGCGCTCAAATGTGGATCTCAAGGTGCCTCCCCCACCTCTAATTCTTGTTCACTCACCAGAGCAATTAAGTCACTGGATGTAGAAATTCACTAAGCATCCCATGTTGAATTTTTCTTTCCATATTCTAATTGGAAAAACAGTGCTTGGTTTAACTGAAACATCAATGATTTTCCACTGTAATTTTGGATCTGAACAGGATAAATGGAGAAACATAAATGTTACTGCAATTTGGGGGTCTAGGCAAAAAGCTAAGCTCGCACTTAAAAAGAATTCGTTGGCCCTAAAACATCATGATAATTCTATGGCAGTAAGCACCGTGCTTCAGAATGAGGAGATTGTTGATGCTAAGCCACTTGCAGTTTCAAATGGAACAACTCGTACTAATGGTCCAAAAGAACCACTTGCAAGGTCTCATGGCAGCGATTATGTGAATCTTTTTTGTTCCATGCTGTTGCATATCCAATTGTGGTTAAGTAAATATTGACATTACTTTTTCTATCTTACAGTAAACAAATCATTATTTAATCAACGACACACATGATATGTATACTACAAAAAGATGAGCCATCACCTCCATTTTGTGCTTGTGTATATATAGAACTTTTTTTAAATGTAGTTACCAAACCCCCTCGACTTTATTGCATGTAGTGCCACTCTAATTTTCAGGAAATATCTTTCACGGTGTACTTTTAAAGTGACCATTTCTTTTTGGGAGGCAATATTCCTTCAATTTTTGTGCAACAACTTTCCTGTAATCAAATGAGGGAACAAGAGGTCTCAATCGGCTCTATTGTCTTACTTATTGCCTTTTATGATAGTATACTAGAACTAAGTAATGCCACTTTAATGATCCAGATGATCTTTCACTGCATTCAGAATGAGAAGATATAATTGCCAAATTACATATCTGTTAGACATGGTTTTTAAGCATCATGCAGTAAAAGAGTCTTTCATTAGAAGCTATAGGTGTGTACACTTCCTTGCCTGCTTTTGAATTGATTTATAATACCTCTTTTACATGGTGTAGATTGGACAAACTTATATCAGAGGCCATTAACAACCTAAAGGAGCCAAGGGGTTCTGACAGGGCTGCAATTGCTATGTACATAGAGGTGCTAATGCATGTCACATTTGAATCTAAATGTTGGACAATTTTGTATATGCAGTAAAGATCTTTCCTGCCCCTCCAACTTCGGGTTTACTTATTCACTGGTCATATTCACAATTATTTCTTATTCATAACTGGATGAATGTATCAAGACCCTAGTGTTGTAATTGCTATGAACTGCTGTACTATGTCATTTTCTTTCTTTGGAAGCGATGACATGCAATCAAGAGATTCATTAAAATGTGATTTCTTCATCTATTTACAGTACTGAATGCTTGTCTTTATGCATGTGTGCATATAAAGTAAGAAATATTTTTTCATTAAAAGAATAGGAAAGAAACAAAAAAGAGTGATAAGACATCTAACGGAAACCGAGATTTCAAAATGGTTTTCTTGTTTATAAAATTTACTTTCAGGCAGTTTTATCATCTTCACTAATGGGACTTCTAGAAATATAACTTTCAGTTCCTGGGTTTTTGTTATTCATAATTTAGATTTCTAATATTTTGTGTACTTTGGTCACTTGAAGTTTTAGATTATAGTACAATCTCACAAAATTTAAATAAAGATGAATTCAGAAAATCTGATGGCCGTAGCTGTACGCATTTCTCGGTTCCATCTTCTTACCTGAATGCCTCTGCATGATTATATATAATCTTTTTTTTTTTTTGGACAGGAATCGTTCTGTATAAATCTGAAGTTTTCAATTGTTCTCTGTGCAGGAACATTACTGGGCCCCGCCAAACCTTAAAAAACTCCTTTCAACGAAACTAAAGCATATGACTGCAAATGGAAGGTTGATAAAGGTAATTCTCCTACTATAATTCAGAAACTATTTGGAAAATTATTTTTTCCAGCAGCTCTCAAGACTGTTGAGCAATGCTAATTTAATGTGGCCGGTAAGCCTGTGTGTCTAATATCTTCGCTAGGAGGAAAGCCTGAAGGAGCAGTGGCCTATGGAGTTATATATTAGCAAGGGCAATTGAGAAGGGTATTTTGAATCTCTTATGCCCGAGAATTATGTCAGCCCTTTCTGGGGAGTGTTTGTGAGGTTAGGTCTAGAGGGAAAGTTAGGTGATAACTATAATGTAAATAAAAGAAATGAAAAGGGGAGGAAGAAAGGAGTAAGCAGGTTTTGATAGTTTCTGGGAGTGGGCAAGCACTCAAAATCATGTGACCCTCACTGTTCGAGTAATCCTCTTGGCAGTCAGTTCTTTTAATTGTTTGGTCGGGGAAACTAATTTGTTGAAATGAGATTTTATCAATGGGACACAAGTCCATGCTTGAGAAGACAGACCATGCTTGATATGAGGTATTTAAGCCATCTAAGGTGATTTGTTTGTCTTTCTAAATGGCATTTTGGTCTATAGCCCCAGTTCGGAGACTTGTGTTCAGCATTTAAGATGCAATGCTGCATGATCAAAGACTGTATGCTAACCTAAGGAATGTTTATTTGCCTAAATAGAACTAGAGTACCTCGGTCATATATTATGAAAGGGGGGTGGGGTATCAGCTGATCAGCAGAAAATTCAAGCGGTGTTTCTCTGTGTGTTTCAAGAACGTTGAAGAAATTAAGGTGGTTCCTTGGTCTAACTGGGTAACTATAGAAAATTTGTGATTGATGATGGATACATTTTCTGGCCACTCATGGAACAATTGAAAAGGGATCAGTTTGCATTGGTACATCTAACGCCAACAAGCTTCTCAACAGCTAAAGAGTGCCATGGTAAATGCCTTGGTTCTTGCTTTACCAGAACTTTGAGCAGCCATTTGTTGCTGAGGATGGCACCTTTTTTGTGGGAGTTGGGGCATTTTAATGCAAAATTAAAAACCCTATTGCCTATTTCATAAGGCCTTGGTGTATGGAAGGGAACTAATTGCAATATTGCTAGCCATTCAAGAATGATGACCTTACATGCACGAGTCATAAAAATAGACACTACCAGAATCTAAAATTCTTGATCGGATGATGGTGGTAAGGATACCTCTAAATGGACACCAAACTCCTAAGTTTTGACTTTGCGTTTCAATACAAGCATCTGGTAAGAATAAAGTAGCAGATGTCCTTCAATTGGAGGGACCGCCATTCTTTGTAGCCTTGAGTATGGTCCATGGAGAATACCTTTGACCCCAATGTACTCAATGGAGGATTGTAGAGGACATGTTTTTTTGTAGAACGTAAAATCCAAACTGAGGACCAACCTATGATTTATCTGGGCTTTGGACTGGATGGAATTGTCTTACTTTTTCTAAGACCTTATTGGGGTGCTAAATGGAGCTCCTTGAGCTGTAAAATTCCCTAGGAACTTACCATTCTAGTCTGATGGGTGGTTATGAGGGCAGTACTAGTACTAAAGAGTTACAAATGACTAGCAAGGGATTATTCCTGGGAAGGAATGGAAACAGATGTCACACTATAGTCAAGTGTGATCTACCAATGGAGTAAACCATTGACGACAGCTCTGTAGGATTGCTACTACCTATTCCTCTATCTCAGCAAGTTCAGGAGGAAATAACAGTGGATTTTGTGGTGGAAGGTCTGCCCCACTCTGAAGGAAAGTATAGTCTTCTTTTGGTGATGGATAGGTTTATGAGTACTATGTTTTCTTTTGCCACATCGCCCCTTCACAGCTTAAGTGGTAAACGTCCTTTTTTCTGGAAGTGGCATATGGCTCCATAGATTTGTCTTCAATCATATCCGACAGAAAAGAATTTCCAAAATTTATCTTGGCAGCAACTCTTCAGGATGCAAGAAACACACTTGAAGAAGAGCACTCCTTTCACCCACAAATGGATAGCCAGTCCAAAGTTGTAAACGACTGTTCAGAAGCAAATCCTTGACACACCACTGACATTGATAAACCAAAACAGTGGATGTGCTGGATTAATTGGCAAAAATTTGGTTTAACACTTCATACCTTTAAAAAACTCCTTTTAAGGCACTCCATGTTCAAGACCCAGTCGCATTTATGGTCAAGACCTAGTCACATTAACTGTTGGAATCATAATTCTTAATCCACAAAGAAATCTCTTAATGCTGCTTTATGGTAGGGAGAACCCTTAGATCCTCAAAACTTTCTAGAGTTTCTATGAAAATCCATCCTCACCTATGTTGTGCCCTTCCTCCCAAAGCCTTCTGGCATATTGTATTCCAGGTCTAGCCCAACATGTGTGAAGATATTGGTCAATAAGAAGAGGAAAGATTTTAGTTGTGGGAGGTGGCTTGGTTTTCCTGAAGTTATGCCCCTACATCTTGTGACGTTATCAGATGAGAAACTTGCACCCACCCCTTTCCCAATGGAGGCGTAGGTGTGTAATGTGGCACATTGATGGACTTTACCCGCTACAAGTGCTATAACTTCAGCATCTCGTGTGTCCCAAATTTGTCCAAATTGTGGCTCTACATTTAAAGGCATACCTGTTCCCCCCATCTCAACTCTGAACAGGATGTGTTGTGGAATCTTAAATAATATTAGATGTCGGCCAACATAGTGTCCTCAGTCAAATGGTGTGGAAGTACTGGTTAAATGAAAGGGCTGGATTGACACTGGTGCTAGAGCCATTTAATAACATAGCAAGACAATTCATGCCATTTCACCATGAGGACAAAGTGCACCATTGGGCATGGGCAAGGGGTAACGATATAACCTACTATGCGTCTAGTGTATCCACATAGGAAGAAGGCATGAAGGAGCAGTGTCTTATAAGGACTTACAGAATAGCAAGAGCGGGTATTCTGGTACATATATGCATGAGAATGACATGAACCTTGGGGATTGTTTGTGGGGTACTTCTGCTGGAGAAAAAGTTAGGTAGGAGATGCTGGACCCTCCAAACGTGCCAAGTTTTGTGGTTAAGAATTTCTTGAAGGGCAATTTGAAACCTCACCAAGTATTATATGAAGGGGCATACTTTCAGAAAATGTTTCTGAAGGATGGTCCATTACGCTGTAGTATAAAGAATTCATACTTAAATTAGAGTCTTATTTTCCTTTTCATTATGGGATGTAGAAAGCCTGATAATTGAGAAGTTATATATGCAGGCACCGTTGTAAATTAATAATGCAAGTGATACGGAAATGGTTAAGAAAATTCCATGAATCTAGGGGAACTTGAGGGTGGCAAATGAATGGTAATACTGTAGTTTTGACTAGATCATTTATATGTTTTTTGTTTGCGTAGGTAAAGCATAAGTACAGAATTGCTCCAACTTCAGCCTTATCTGGAAAAAGAAACGTTCCATTATTACTCCTGGAGGGCAAGCAGATGGATTCTTCGAAGGCTGAAAAGGGTGAAGTCAAAATCATTACTAAATTCCAGGTTGACTCGGAACTTTCAAAGATGAAGGTAATGACTGCAGAGGAGGCAGCTATAGCTGCCGCACGTGCAGTAGCTGAGGCAGAGGCTGCCATTGCAGAGGCCGAAAGGGCTGCAAAAGAGGCAGAAGAGGCAGAGGCTGAAGCTGAATCAGCACAAGTTTTTGCTGAAGCAGCAATGAAGGCATTGGAGTGCAGAACGTTCCCTACCAGAAGTCCTATTCAGAAAGTTCTTCTCCAAGGTAATACAACACATAACTTCAGTCATAAAGTACAAGTTTACGTACTTAATATTCCTGCATATCCTGTTTAACGGCACTGCAAACTTGTATATCCACGTATTTGTTGTTTTGATTTTTGATATATCAATCTCCAACTTATGAAAATACATGAAAAAACATAATACAAGTTGATTGTTGGAATCTTTGCTTATGTTTTAAGAAAATTGCTCATGCATTATTTGTTTGTCTTGAGGTCTGTAATGCTACACTTGGATGTTAACGGCTCACCTTCCCTTGGCTCTTTGCCAAGTCAATTTTGATTCTTCTATCAACGATTCCACATTAGAGATTGAAAATTTAATGAGAGTTCATTGGCATCTTGCGAAGTAACTATTCATTTTATTCTGGTCTTACTTGCATCTGTGTCTAGCATTGTTGAACTTGTATGTTATGAAGCTACTATGAGAGGGCAAATTGAAGCCTATTGCCTTTTCTTTTCATGTCACTTAGCTTCTTTTTCTCCCTCTTTTCTTTTTCTTATTTTTTTTTGGCAGATAACAAAACTTTGCAATGACAACTGTAGGCAATGTGTTCTGAGAAGATGAAGCTGCTGCAGCATTGCCATCTGCAAGTGGATGTATCTAAAATGTAGATATTGTTAGCATTGTAAATCGGCATAATGCGATTGCCTTTTGAGAAAAACAGCTTCTGGGGATCAAATCATCGGAAATGTATGTCGGTAATGTGATTCTAAAATCAAAAAAATGGTAAAAGATTTTGGAGAGGTAGATATACGTACGTAATCTGCAAATGCTGTTTTCTAGGCAGACTTTTTGTGATCCTAAGAGTAAATCAAATTTATAAATTAAGATATGATTCTCCGTCTGCCCAACACACAACTGGGAAGTTCATGAACTTAATATGTGGAACGATGTTTTTATATAGGTATAGAAATGAACAACTATGAATAATTATTAGCATTTAGAACAGTAGAACAAGCATGTCTGCTGGAGGTTGAAACCGAACTTCTTTTTTTTTCCTTCTAAAATTAAACTAGTAAATGAATATGTCAACTAGTAAACGAGAGATTACGGAGTCTTTTACAACCGTTTCATTTTTAATATTCTATTTTAAAAAATTATGTTTGTTTTTTATAATCATTTCATTTTTAATTTTCTATTTTAAAAAAATTATGTTTGTTTTTTATAATATTGATAAGTTTTTCACTTATAACATTTTTGAATTCTTATCAAAATTTCAAAAAAAAATTTTTTTTTTCAAAATTACTTTTCTTCCTTTAAAGTTAGCCTATGTTTAGCAGTAATGTTTTCAAGTTTAGTTTTTAAAAATAGAAAATATAAAACGCAACAATTATCCAATAGAGCTTAAATAATCCAATTGGTGATTGGAGTATTTATGCAGGCATGAATAGTTAAAGTAAATGAACATTTTCACTTATTAGTGAGAAAAAGAAACAAGTTCCCACAATGGAGAGGCTACCAAACAGGAATTTTGATTTGGAGTTCTGATTTTGGAGAGGTATTCTATTGCTATATTTGTGTTTGATTTTGCATTCAAGCATGAAATTACATACTATTAGAACTTCTACTACTTGAGCCTTTAATATATAAACATTTGGATAAGATGGATAGTTTTGCTACTAGCTTTGGGAACAGTTTATGAAATTATGATTAAAAGTAGCTGCAATTATTCATAGGTTTTTTTTAGAACGCAGTAGAAATCGGAAGTTCAAACTCATGGTCTCTTAGTTACATCATATTTCTAAAAAATCATTTCATTGGTAGGGAAAAGAATAGAGGAAAATTATTATTAAAATTGTTTCCCATAAATAACACCTCATACTATTTCATTGGTAAGGAAAAGAATAGAGGAAATTATTATTAAAATTGTTTCCCATAAATAACACCTCATAAATAATAAGAGCAACAAATATATTCTAAAAAAATGTACCCCATCAGCATATCTCATCGACCCATCAAACGAAATCGATCACCAAACACCAAATTTCACAACTTCTTGCCAACAATTTAAGGTCACATGAGGAGCTGAGGAATGAAAATTGTTTCATTGTTCTTCATCTATCTCAGGGAAATAACAAACTACATAAACCTTTTCCTCACTTCAAAGGAAATTCTGCTAAACTAAAGGTACACTTATTTCCTATATCACAGTTCACATTAGACGAGTTATGAGTAGAGAAAGACAGGTAGAGCAATAAGAACAGAGTCATGTTCTTCGTCTACATGAGGTTTATGGATTTGTTAAACTCTTCAAGTACTTCTTAGAATGTCAGAATGACACTGATTCTCATTGAAATCCAGTGGAGAAAAGCCGAAGAGGAAAAATCAAATGTACTTACTTTCAATCTCATGACAAGCAACAATTTGATTTTGAAATGTAATCTTAGTAAAAGCTTGGCTCTATCAAAATCTTCGATAATCCTTAAACAATGGCAGCATTATTTTACTCCATAAAGAACATATGAAATGACGAGAAAAAAAGGGTCATTCCAGTACCGCAGTAGCTCCCAATTCCTTGAGCTTTTCAATAATTGGATTTCCCTGATCTTTCGTTACTCCCTTCTTCAGCACCACCGGCACCTTCTCCACCAAATCCTTAGCCTCCTTCAGACCCAATTCAGTGAACGTCCTTACCTCCTTTATAATCTTGATCTTCGCCGCCGCATCAAATTTCTCGAGCTTAATATCAAACACGGTTTTCTCAGCCTCTTTTGCTTCGGCGGAGGCAGATCCGGCGGAGGCTGAACCCGGTGCGCTTAGCCCAGAAACCGCAGGCCCGTACTTGTTCAACCCCATTTTCAGCCGGAAGAGAATAGCATAGTCATGTCGTTCAATTTTACTGAGGCCAAGGAGCTCATCGGCGATCCGCTCGAGTTTCTGGATTCGTTCCTGGGAGACGGTGCTGAGGGAGCGAACTAGTAATGGTCTCGGAGCGACTGTGAGAAGTCTCACTAGAGCTTTTGCTGGAAGTTTGGAGGCAATGGATGGCATTTCGAGGAATTAGGGTTTCAGAGAACTCCGTTGATGTCGATAAATCACAGAGTGCCGTTCTTCATTGAAGCACCGAGGTTCTACAGGCGGAGGAAGCCGAGGGTTGCTGTGAGTTCATTAGGGTTGTCCCTGCCATGAGTGACCCTCAAAACTACTAGAGAATTAGAAAAGTGTCTCCAATATCAACAATTTGAATAATAGTCCAAAAATATGCGAAAAGTCCACTTTACCCTTTAATAGAAATACTTCGAAAATTTATTAATTAGCATTATAATTATAAAACAAATTACTCTCCGTGGATTCAAATCAACCACCAGTTTAAAATCCTATTACAGCTTCATGCTTCTTTATTGTTAAATCTAATGATAATGATTAAATTATTCTTTGTCAAAATCATTTAAAATAAAACACTATTTTTCTTTGGAATACTCTGTATCAAAATCCTCTTAAATTAATTATGCATTTGTAATACTACTTTTTTCCAACCGTTCAAAATATTCTTTGAAAAATGATTAACTTCCATCCGTTCAAAAGCAATTAATTGAGCTTTATCGAAGTATTTGTAAGAAAAGTTTTCATTTAAGAACAGTATTCTCAATCTCAATATCATTCCAAGACACTATAGATTCAACCTTGAAAGAGACAAGTGGTAAGAATTCAAACACTTGTTGCGCCTTATTATTTTGATAAAATGCAATGATTTAAAGCTATGCATATGCAAATTGTGTAGATATGTACAATAAACAGACACATAAAAGGACTGCACTAAAGTGTACTAATTCAAAGGGTGGAGAAATAACCCATCGGTTTTCCTCTCTTCCTTCCAAGTTTTCAGTATTTCATTAACAGAAGGCGAGTTTGAATCATAAGAATCATCAGATCTATCAAGTAACATGTTAAGCACTTCCTCATCATCTTCACTGCTGACACACAAATCGAAAGTCGAGAGCTCATCGTTGGAATGACCCGAAAACGTGTTAGTCCCTAGAGCACCTTCATCAGAAAGACTCGGTGACCAGGGGGCCATATTTGAGTCACTCTCGACCTTCATGTTCTCCATGTTTTCAGACTGGGAGGTGTCCTCTGGTATCCTGGATTTGCAGAGAACCCGCAGCGACCTTGACAAGTTCGAGACTGTGGCTTCTGATGCATCACAGTCGCTAAGAGCGTCTGATAGTTTCTTCAAGTTATTCCAACAAATCCTGTCCATGCTCACTTCAAAAAGTTCTGTCCATTGTCTTTTGGTTACTTGGAATGGAGCATAACACATGGCTTTAACCAAGGTGACAGCCTGCTCATAGTTCTCTTGAACTATAAGCTGCAATATCATTTCTGTGAACAACAGTGGATGGGGAATTTGTCCAGCCTCCAAGATTGAGTCAAATGCATGATCTAATAGATACCACTGAAATAGATATAGATTAAAGCATATGAGGTCCGTGGCCAATCTATTTGACTCTAACTTCAGTACAAATAAAGGGGCATGTAAAATTAAAGGTCGGCAACTCGACGTAGAGAAATAACCAGCAAAATACACTGGACCAACTAGAGAAAAATAGATTTTACCTTCCCAGCTCTGGAAGCTTCCACAAGTACCGTTGCATGTTTACTTTGATCTAGCTGGTATCCAGACAGAGCCATTTCCCTGTATACATTCTCAAAATATTCCCACTGGAGTGCACTAGCAGCTGCCTCAAGCATCGAGCCATACGTATATTCATCTGGGATTATAGAATGAACAGAACAACTTGGGGAGGAACGATCAGCTTTTCTCTTTATTTCTTCAAATAAATCTTTAGCTTTAGAAAACATATCATTTCGGCCATAAACTTTAAGCATGGTATTTATAGTCCCTATATTAGGCGCACAATTTCGCCTCATGTACTCGAAGATAGATATGCAATCATCAATATGTCCACCATCAAAGGAAGATAAGATCATGCCAGTGAAGGTCACCACCAACGGTTTCATATGTGGTAGTGTTTTCATTTTTCTTACCTGCAAGTCACATTTAATGATGAGAATAGAACTTCCTAGCCTGCTATTACTACAATCAAGATTCAAGGTTATGCAACATTAAGATGTTATGCAATGATAAATATGATGATGTTTTTTACAAAATTTGAATCCATGATAATACCAAAATTTCAAATGGTCATAAACATTGCTGAGACACTTTTGGTAAGATTTATACGCAAGAATCAAAATCAATAAAAACAGAGACCACCATTGCAGGTTGAACTTAAATTTACTGAAGTCGGGGTCAGGTATTTAGAGTCTAGAATCAAATTAAGAAATGATCCTAGACAAGGTTCCTTAAAAGTGACAAACTAAATATTTAGATAAATATTAATGAGGAGCCTACCTCTACCAATGCATCTTGCCACCTCCCATTGTAACATAGACAACAAGCTAGTTCATAATAGACACTGGCAGATCCAACTACTCCTCTTTGTTCCATATCCCTGACTGCTTCAATAGCTCCATTAACATTTCCTTCCTCCCAAAAAGCTTTGACAAGAACTACAGTCACAAGACAGACATATTAAGTCAAGGGTCGGGACAATAACCATTTCTAGAAGACATAAAAATAAAACTACCTCTGTACGTGTTCGCCTTTAGAGTTTCCCCACTCTTCTTCATTTTTGTAAAAAGCTTGTGGAGATGCTCATACTTTCCAGATTTCAGCATTACCTTTCAATAATCACAGTAAGACTTGAACATAAATACCTCAAGGATAGCCAAATATCAACTTACATGCAAGATTCCTCTTTATTGAAAAAATACATCAAGCCTACAGTTTACTAGGAAAGAAATCCAAGAATATCATTGTGGGCAACTAGTTATCAGCTCAACAGAATAGCAAAAAGGCAAAGCTACAAACAAATAGTATCTTACTAATACTATATATATTAATAGGAAGAACAAGAAGAAGCCATCAGCTCAATTTACCTACTCTGGGGGAATGGTGGGCCTAGCAAGTACAATTCGTTGTTGCTCAGCCTATCTCCTTGGGAGGTAATTACTCGGAGAGATCTAAAAATTTGATGTAGTGGTCAGTTAGTGCAGAGCACTAGAGGTGGTTAATTACACTACTTGGATATGATTTGGCAATTCCATATAATCATGGGTTGAAGGATAAGGCTACTAACTCATGCCCCCAAGGAGTAAAAGGTTTGGGATCTCCAGACATACTGGTTTAGAGGTCTCAAGTTTGAGCCTTCCGATGAGCTTAATACCAAAAATCCTTGATATCTCCCAGATCCGGGCCTTGAGGCGGGTGCAGGTGTCCCTGGGTACCAACATAATAAGTACCTAATTATGTCTCCTGCAGGTTTGTTACAGCTCTTACCCCTATCTAAATTAGCATGGGACATCATGAACGGTTGTGGAAGTTATAACACAGTTAGAGTGAAGGCATTCACACCTGATGTTCCGATTAGAATTAATATTCAAATCCAATAAGATAGAGAGGTCGAATTTTATACTTGGCAGATCAGCAATGCAGCCCTTCCATGCAAGATCATAAATAGACAAAACATAGACTACACATACACATCTCCAATATCCGCCTATCTCAAAACAATAACTTTGAATCAGTAAGAGAGAGAGAGAGAGAGAGAGCTATTTTCTGGTATTGACCTCCTGACCTCCATTCATAATCTCAATCAGGTATCACCACACTCCATTAAACACAAAAAAACTTAGAAGTTCAATTCATGAAATAGGAGACAGTAAGTACCTCCATAGAAAGTCCATATGTTGCTCCATTAGGTTTCAAACCACTCTTTCTCAACTGTGTGAACACCCAGTAGACACCTTTCCACTCGTGCGTGGGAATGCATGCGTTCAAAATCTAGCAAGAATTTTGGAGGGGGTTAGCCAATTCTTCTAGTTTAATGACTGAACAATGGAAAAAAAAAAAAGGCTTGTACTACTTCTTGTAGTTCATATCACATGAATTATCTTGGGATTCCTTTCAATATTTTGTATCTTTAAGAAACAAGACAATTCATGTGATATAAAATTATATGCGAAAACATGGAGATTCTAGTACTCTCGTTGCACTAGAAACATTTTCCAGAAAATATAATGACGTCATTAACTACATAAATATACTCTCTTACAGCATTATATACAACAAGATCGGGTTCAACTGCAGGATCCCAAGATTTTCGGCACTTGTTTCTAATTTTTTTGGACGGCTGCTGCCTCATGCATTCAATAACTTTCAGCAATTGTTTCAAAAGACCAGCTTGACCCAGCGTAACAGCGATACTGTGATATGCAGCCATGTCGGGATATATATGGCCATCTCCCTGAATAAGGCAACTATAACATATCTAACAACATCATGTACGTATAGAAAAAGATTCTTGGAATATCAAGAGACAAAGGCACTCAAACATTACCCGCATCAAATTAAATATCTGAAGGGCTTCCTGAGGTTTCCTCGCCATCCCCAGAACAGCTAAGAGCTTTGTATAGACAAACCTGCAAAAGGTACAAATTTTTTCATAATAAAGGAAGGACTTTTTCAGTTAACTCAAAAAATAAAACTAGCACATTGATCGAAACATGTATAATTCGTCGAACGCAAGGAAGTTTCCCACAAAGAAGGTAATAGTAAATATTCACCTTCTAATTTTTCACATATAAATTCAGTATGGATTAGAAAACTTGCCTGCTTTTAAAATGACTGTGACTTTTAAGATTGTACACCCATTCGACCACTGACAAGGACTGTTTCCAGCATCCCCTAGCACCGAGGCCATCCAAAATTTTAAGTAGTTGACCTTCATTAAACTGCAATCCTGACCGTATCATCATCCTGGAGAATTTCCAGTCCCTCATGGAAATCTCCCTCGAACTGAGCCTGAAAATAGTAACCTAGCTATCTTGAGTCATCGAAAATCTCATCATCGTTGGCAATTAATCCGAAACCGAATTGAAACATGTCGAGAATCAGCTCACTGCCATATTCTCCACAAAAAATATATATATATATATAAACCTGTCAACAAGGAACCGAATAACCTCTCCGTCGCCGCGCCTCCGTTTTACGGCATCAGAGCGACCATTTTCACTGTCCAGCCACTCATCCTTCAGTTCCACATCGTCGTCTAAAACCCACTGCAACTCCTCGAGCTTACGAGCCTCAAACAGTTTCCTCAACTCTGTCAAATTCTCCTTCTTCAGATTCTCCCCATCGTATCCTGTTCTGAAACCGGTAAGTTCTTTAAGGTTTACTCCTTCCAGTCTCTCCCAAGGCCTGCCGACCATCAAGCCACTGCCTGGTTTCGCCTCTATGGCCTTGGAGAACTCCTTGTACTCGCTTCTCAAAGTCCGGAAATGGGTTTCCTCGGCAATTAGCTGCTTTTGGGACTCAGAAAGGGGCGGCGACTGATGAGCCAGTCGGTTGAGTTTGCGGTTGTGCTTCTGAATTTCTTTCTTCCGAAGTGCGCGGAGGATCTTAGGAGAGGGACAGACACCCTTTTGGAGGAGCGTTCGCTTAATTTTCTCCAAATCTGGTTCGAACTTCGGTGCAGGAATTGGTGCATTTGTGCTCAATGCATCCATTTTTGGAAGCAAAGATACCAATTGCTTCGACAGAAACGCGGCTGGAGGGCAACGGATAAGTGTGGAAGAGCAAAGGCTATTATCGCTTTCGTCGTTCTGAACCGAGCTAATTGGATGAACTAATATCAAGTATCAACTACGTACACCCATCACTACTTGGTACTTCTATCAAATGAGCTTTAGAATTTCACATCGGGGAGGGAGAGGAGAAACTAAGAGAAGTAATATGAAAAGATGCGAAATTGAAATAAATCACATTGCTCCAAATTCCATATCCTAATTTAGTGGAAAATTTAATTTCTCTGTTCTCCCAATTTAATTCCTAAAGTTTGTAACCCTTTCGTTTTTTTTATAATTCGAAATCGATGTCGGGTGGCTTCACCAGTTGGATCCTTATAATCGAGAGGTGTTGACGGTCACCCAACACTGTAATCGATATTGTGAGATTTGTCCTTTGAAGGGGAGAATCCCGGCTACATGCCCAGCGGAGATTGAACCGAGGAGGAAGTATCCTCATTCAACTACAAGCCCACTACGACACCACCCACCTGTGGTAATTTTTGTCCATTTTACTTCATGTAATTTTAAGAAGGGTGTATTTTAGTTTTTATTTATAAAATTTTAACAAAAGTTCATACACAACGAAAATCTTTTAATACAAATTCATGGCTACATTTCAAGAAAATTTATTAAATGAATTGTTATGCTAAGAGTATGATAGAAAGAAATAAGATAAAAAAATAAAATGAGTAACAAAAATGGTCACTTTTTTATCAGTATAGAAACTAAAATTGATCTAAATATAAAAATTAAAATAAATAAAAATATAGAAAGTAAATGGACTAAATTAAACGTTTTAGTACAAAATAATAAATTCATTCCTAATACGCAATGGCTTGTCTCCAATTTATAATCTACTGTGAAAAATCAAGGTAATCTTTGTAGTGTATAATCTACTATGGTTGTGTTTGCATTTTGAAAAAAAAAAAAAGTGTTTTCAAGTAAATTGTTCAAGGAATAAAATTGCGGAGTATTTTTAAGTGTATTTTATTTATTTTTAAAATCTTTCCAACTAAAGTTGACCAAATTATTATAAAATTTAAACTACAAACACAAGATTATTACACACACAAAATTAAATTGCTCTAGAAAGACCACATGTATTTATTAACATGGTATTCATTCATTTATTAATATGTTATTCATTCATTAAAGATCCAAGGTTGAAATCCCAGCTTTGAAAACTATTCCACACATAAAAAGACCGATGTTGAATTTCCCGGCTTTCAAAACTATTCCACACATAAAAGGGATGTATGTAATTCTTTCACCAATATAAACAAGTAAAAATGTCCAAAGAAAAGAAAAAACAATTAACAATAGCAGAAATTACAATCGAACTTATTTGAACACGACAAAACTAAAAGGTTTCATATTTTTGAACATCAAGGAAGAAAGTAGAAAAATCTTCCAATTGACAGTATCTTTGTCATCCGCCAGTGGAGATCAAAGAACAAAAGAATGGAGATACAAAAATGCATATAGGGGAATAGATATTCAATTTAATGAATCGTAGACAACTTTTATGGCCACTAATATACATAGAAATAATAGAGCTATAACTACAGTCCATTTTCAAACAATCTGAATCAACGCCCTCTCTAAATCTATGTGACTGGAAAAACATCTCACTCTCTCTGCTTCACCTGGACTTTCTTTTTTATACTGGGATAGTCTTCAAGATGGCAGCAATTGGCATCCCTATAAATCCAATTGCCACACAAAAGAGCCACTGCGACATATCCAGAGGGGTCGTGCTTGCAAATGTTCCCAGGAACTCGATGATAATTATTTGGAACACCAAGGTGGAACCAAGCACAGTTACAAACACATAGTTATCAAGTATGCCTTTGAACACATTGATTTTGTCCATCTCCCTGGAACTTATTTCGTTGAAAATCTGCCAAGAAGAAAATCCGTGTTAAGTTACAACTCTCCCAACAGCAAACTAGATATGAAATCACTATGGAATGAGGTTTTAAGAACTCAGGAATCCTTCGGGAATCGAAAGAGAGGAGGTTGCATTTGATTTGATCATATCATAGACCATTACTCTCCCAACAGCATTTGCAGTTAAAGGAACTTTTAGACCCACTCACAGTAGAATAAACACAGAAGGTTAAAAACAAGCAGCGTTAGGGAAAAAGAAAAGGGTACCTGACAGAACACAAAGGAATTGAAGATGAGCGTATTCAGTATCAAATCGGAACCAGGGCCCTCGAGATCAAACATTGCTTTTCCTTTCGCCTGCAGAAACCATATCACGCAGAACTGATACAAGGATTGCCCCAATATATTCCTCCACATGACATTGCTGATAAAACTTCCTCTCCTCCCAACAGGTAAGCGCTTCATCAATTCATCATTTGGAGGCTCAGTGGCGAGTGCCAGCGCTCCAAGTGTATCCATTATCATGTTCACCCACAAGAGCTGGACTGCCGTAAGAGGAGCACTACCTGAAGCATGTTGTTACACAGAAAGGTTAGCAGAGGGACGGAAAAATGACTAATAAAATAAGTGAACCAATCAGTATGATGAGGTGTGAAGATACTTAACCTGTCACACAAGCTGAAGAGAAGTTTACGATCAACGCTACTATGTTTACAGTCAGCTGGAACTGCACAAATTTTTGAATATTTATGTAAACGGAACGACCCCATTTTCCCACAGTCACTATGGTGGAGAAATTATCATCGAGAATTATCACATCAGCACTCTCTTTGGCAACCTAAAAGCCAGAAATAACGGTTCATTAAACTGTCAACTCACAGCAGAGAACATCATAAACTGATGCAGATAACACTCCTTGGAGTTTGAGTAGCCCTATTCTAAACTCACCTCAGTTCCAGCAATGCCCATTGCAAGACCAATATCTGCTTCGTGAAGAGCAGGAGCATCGTTTGTCCCATCACCAGTAACAGCAACAACTTCATCAAAAGTGGTCCGCAAATGCTTGACCAGAGTGTGCTTATCAAGAGGTGAAGATCGAGCCATCACCTACAAAAAGATCAGGAATTCTCGTAACTGTGAATCAGATTAACGAAATGTGGGAAATTTGATGATGCTGAAATATTAGAAAAATAACTAAGAAGCACCTGAATTTTGGGAATAATTTTAAGCAATTCGTCTAGGGTCTTCTCTCTGAAATCTGGACCCTCAATGGCAATGCCATCATCTGTGAGAATTCCACATTCTCTAGCAATAGCTTTAGCTGTATTGATATTGTCACCAGTAACCATTCGTACAGTAATACCAGCTGAACGACAAACCGCAACTGACTCTTTAACACCGGGACGAACGGGATCTTTAATACCCACTATACCTATACAGGTATAACCAGAAACTGGAATAGGATCTTTGACAGAGAATCCATTTTCCAGTTCCATATAGGCAAGGCAAAGTGTTCGGAGAGCTTCACCAGCAAACTGATTGATAATAACATTGAGATGCTTGATGGAAGCTTCATCTAAAGGAACAACCTCACCACTCGAATTGATCACCTTGTCACAGGCAGCCAACACTATTTCTGAAGCACCTTTAGTGTGAGCACGGAAACCACCTTCAGGAAATTGTAAGACAACACCCATCCGTTTTTTCTCAGAGTTGAATGGCTCAACTTTAATAAGTTTAGCTGCCTGTCTCTCAGCCTGAAAATCCCCACCAAGTGAGAGACCAAACTCTAATAATGCAGTCTCAGTGGGAGTGCCCAACAACTCACGCTTGCCATCTTTGTTGATTACAACTTCTCCCCCAGTGTTGTTGAATATTGATTGTTGGAGAAGTTTGATAAGAGAGGCTGGAAGGTCAGAACAGAAGCTTGAAACATTATTACTTGATTCCTTGACATTCATGCAAATGCATGATTTAACTACTGTCATGCGATTTGTGGTGATTGTTCCAGTCTTGTCACTACAAATACTTGTGGCAGAACCCATAGTTTCACAAGCTGCCAGGTGACGGACGAGTGCTTTATCATTCATCATCTTCTTCATGGCGAAGGCAAGGCTCAACGTCACAGCCAAAGGAAGCCCCTCTGGCACAGCAACAACAACAATTGTGACTGCAACAGCAAAGAATTCCAATATCTCTAAGGCATCGTCTGCAGACCAACTCCAGTGAGTCCCTTCTCGAAGTTTACGGCTAACCAATCCTTGAACCAACACAGCGAAAGTGATAATGGCAAAGAATAGACCTATTTTCCCAATAATTGTTGCCACTCCATTCAATTTCACCTGCAATGGAGTTTCGTCATCTCCACCTTCACTAAGAGTGGCCATCAACTTACCCCATTGTGTTCTCATCCCAACAGTAGTGACCATCATCTTGCAGGATCCATCTTGAACTTTAGTTCCTGATAGAAGATATGGGTTCTCTGCAGTCACCATCACTGGCTCACTTTCTCCAGTCAAACTTGACTCATCAATCAACACAGAGAACCCTGAAACAAAGAGTCCATCTGCAGGGACTTGATCCCCAATAGACAGGTGTACAATATCTCCAGGAAGTAAATCGTAAATCGACATTTTCTGTCTATAACCATTCCTTGTGACCTGAATTGATATCTTCTTTTTCTCCTTATCCAAGTCCTTGAACTGTAAGGATTGTCGATAATCACTAGTTGCCGTGACAAATACAACTAGTAAGATACTGGCAACAATTCCAAGGCCATCGTGAGCCCCATGTGGCCACCCCTCTGTTATTATGCCAACTACCAAAGAGACAAAAGCACAGAGTCCAAGGATCATGAGAGTCATGTCTTGGAGGGCCTCCCAAACGAACACCAAGAAACTCCTCTGTTCGCTCTCAGCAAATTTGTTAACTCCATAAATTTCTTGCCTGCGATTGAGTGCATCAGGATCGCTATTAAGCCCATTTGTTGTTGATGTACAGAGCTTTCCTGCAATCCCTTCAACCCCACCATGATGTTTAAACTTCTTTGGGTCATGGCCTTCAACAATAGACCCGAGCTCATCAGCACAAATTTGGAAACCTGCAGCTTTGACTTCCTCCGGAACATTATAATCACTCGGTTGCACACCTGAGATACCACGACAAGTTCCATCAAATATGAGAAAAACACCTTACATAACCACATTACTTTGTCAAATTCCAGAACTACCCACCTTGGATGAACTGAAATGCAGCTTTTGAGACTAAAACTGCGATCCTCAACTTCTCCTGCAATAATTAGGAGTGGATAAGTCAGCTCATAGTCATAGCAGAAGGAAAAAACTGTCAACCCAAGGCCAAATGGTAAGTGGATTGGTAAACTGTTATCACGTTCATCTTAAACAAAATGAATGGTTATCAATGCGTTTGGTCATTATTGCATAAAGAAAGGTGTTAGAAAGATCTAATGATCTCGGAGCTTATTCTTTTCTTTTCTTTGGTGGGGGGTGGAGGTCGCTCTTAGTCAGTAATTGCATATACTAAAACCAAATTATTGAAAGAAAAAAAATGCTTCTTTCCTCAGCCGTATATGACTCAGGGTGTGTTTGGATGAGTTTTCCAACAGTAAAAAATGTTTTAACCTATTGAAAACAGCTTTAGATAATCAGAAGTAATATTGAAAAGGAAGAGAACTGTAATTGCAGAATGTTGATGTAAGAAGCGCAGCAAAAAGTCACCCAAAACGGGAGAGAGCAAAAGACTAAATACACAAATCCCAGGAATTTATAGAGGAAAAGAATGAAAGACATTCAGAAGGACAGTGAAAAATCAGGAGAAAATGGTTGAAATAAGAAGAGAGACCTGATTGTTCTGGCGCATAGCAGCAGCTTCGCCACGTTTGGAGAGATTGGCGGTGAAGCGAAACCTCCTTTTGGGGTTCTTGACAACTCCACAAAGCTCCCTCCACCTTTGCAACACCTCCTCAGACGAGTTTTTTGGTTTGACACCCCCAAAATTCTCCTCCAAAAACCTTTCCATCTTTTCCCAGTGAATTAGTGAAAGGGTATCCGCACCGCAGTTTATATATATTAAGGAAACGAAGTCCCGATGGAGAAGGAGAAGGGGAAGGCTCGGAGTTGCAGCAGCGATGCTTCGCGACAATTACCAGAGAATAATAATAACAACAAAGAAGAAATGGTAGTGGGTCAGTCAAGTACAGGATTAGGGACTGTTTCCTCTCTGTCTACGTCGCCATTTTGGATTCAGCAACAAAATCCAAAAGAATGAATTGGAGAGGATGAAGAAGAAGAAGGGGGTGGTGAAGGAATTAGTATAAGCTCAACAAAAAATGGGTGTTGATCCGAAATTTGTTGCATTACTTTAGTTTTATAACCGTCAGTCTTCGCGCTCCTGTTTCTCGCTCGCCTTCCTAATTGGCGGAATTTTGATCCAAATGTTACATTACGGAAGAAAATATTAGAAAATTAATAAAATAATGCCTCTTGCTTTTTTTTTTCTTTTTATCCTTTCTTTTTTTAATTTCTTACTTTATACGAACTTGCTAAAAGAATTTATTAGAGAAAGCGGTTTTCCGTCCAATCCATGTTATTAAAAAGTTTACTAAAATTTGCCTAAAATTGTGCAAATGAAGATGGTTTTTGTCTTAATTTTTATCACTTAAAATTGAAGTGTTGATGTTTGAATTTTGATTGAAATTAATATAAACTTTTTTTTAAAAGTTAAATTTCGATTTGGATGACTGGAAAAGACAGGAAAATCAACGCCACACTTTAAATAAAATTTCTGTAAGGAAAAAAAAAGGAAACACAAAGGAAAAGGTAAATGGGTTCATAATGCTGACTTTCCAACGCGGACGACGCGCCAAAAGTTTTGAACTTCTGGCAGTGTGCCAATTAATTATTTTTTAACGCGGTAGGGCGCTGTACTTTTTTTTTTTTTTAACAAACGCTGTACTTTTCAATTTTTAACCTTCTCATCCCTACAATTCAAAATTTGTAATGATATATTAAAATTAAGTGTCAATTTTATTATTATAACAATTTATTTTTTATAATTTATAAACATATTTTGTTTTTCATCAATAAACTAACAAAAATTTTTATGATAAAAATTAAATTGTTACCAATTTAGTAGTATAATTATTAAATTGTTAAAAATTAAAGTTTAAGAACTAAATTACTACTTCGATTAAAGTACAGTACCAAAAATAGTTTTTAACCATTTTTTTATACGATTTGTTTGGTTAAACTACAATGTTGGTCTTTTTAACTTGAGTTGTGTTTAATATTTGACAAATGTTTAATAGTTTCCTAATTAATAGGTCTCTAAGCATTAATAAACTCTTAAACTTTTGAACTTCATTTTCAATATTTTTTAAAATTTACAAACTTATTAGACACAAAATTCAATTTATAGTAAAATTTCAACTGCATTTAAAAAAACGTTTAATAGGTCAAAGATCTATTAAACATAAATTTAAAGGTTTAAGAATCTATTAGACATTTTTAAATTTTAGTGATTTATTAGACACAAAAATGGAAGGCTCGTAATTTAAACCATATGCTTTTATTGGTCTATTTAATATTATATTTATAGATGAGTTAAAATTCTTAAGCCATTAAAAATAAGTAGATTTTAACCAATAAGAGCATAGCTTTGCATCTAAGTATCTACTCCTTTTTTTTAGTCATAATTCAAATCTCCTCCTCCATGTTTGAGGCATATTTATACCCACATTTGTGATATATATATATTCTTAAATATATAAATAAATAAAAATAGACAGATTCACCCGTTAATTTACACGTTTATTAATATCTTGCCGAATACCCACCAAAATGGATTTATCCTTTGCTGTTTAACAAACATAAACGATGTCAAAAGTCAATGTTTTAGAAACATTAGATTTAAAATTGAAGTTGAATTGAGCTTCATTGACTAGTCAATGCAAGTGCTATAAAAAGTAACCCTAATTAAAATATTTGAAGTCAAAATCAAAAGTTGGTTGAACTCAGAAACTAATATATATATATATATAAACATCAAAAGTTGGTTAGTTGCTATGCTACACTTGTTCATTTTATAATATTTTATTCCTTTCTAAAAACAAGAATAAAATATTTTATCTTTCACTTGAAAAGTTTATTAAGATTATATTGGATAGTCAAATGACAAATTTGCTATTGTGAATTCTTTGTCTAACTAACAATTCATCTCAAGTATTCTACCAATAAGTCAAAAGTCTTTTTGATATTTAATACTAAATTTTTACCTTTTTATTTTGAGATGGAATCCAAACATTATTAACGATGAATAAACCACTACTCTAATAAAATTAAATTTTAATTTTGACCAATTATATTTTATTAAATGTAGTAAAATTGATTGTATATAACAAAGTACTGAACATTATAAAATAAATAAACAGATTATTGTGAACGTAACAAAATTTCATTAATTCATGAGCCGCTAATATCAAAATTTCAACAGAAAAATATTGAAAGCAAACCCTTGTAATATATATATATATATATATATATAACCCTTGTAAAAAAAAAATATATATATATATATATAACCAAATAACATATAAATAGGACACACGAGAACACAAATAACAACAAGATAATTCAAATTAGAAACATAAAAAATTTGATAAAATTTTTCAATTGATTTGTTTCCTTCAATTTTGTAGCATATGAACTATTAATTGCCACTATTTAGAGGCAATTTGAATAACTAAGAGGCATAACAATTGAACATTAAGAATGGATAAAAGCGACTAAACACACGAAACTTTCGTGTAATAGATACCTGAGGCAAAGGGCAAAGAGGCACTGTGAATTTTTAAACACTAACTAATTAACATCTGAAACTTGTAATAATGTTTATTATAATATTAACCATTTTTTAAAATTATGTTAGTTATCTTCAATCAAAATATTTGATTACATAACATGCATTGCACTTGTTGAAAATAACGTGCATGGCACTTGTTCATTTCTTGTTTATTGACTTCAATTAAATGATTTATTTTCTTTCCCTCTTTAATATAACGTGGCTATAAATGATTTAATTCTACCAAGTGACTCAAGGTACCGATTTCTATACTTTAAGTAGTATATTATAAATTTTATTATTGATATATCAAGTATATAAATTATATAACTGATATACTATATATTAAATACTAATTATATCACTTATATAATTAATACAAAGTATGTTAAACCAGATGAGATGTTCAAATGATTTACTTTATAGTAGGTATATCATTGATAATTTTCGAGTTTAAGATTTGAGTTTAAGTAACCTTGTAGATTTTTTTTATTGATATATCAAATATATCAATTATATATATACTTTATTTTGGTACATCACTAATATAACCAATATATCTATTGTGAATTGTACCCGTCACATATTAAATATATTAATGGTAGACTTCATTTTAAGAAGTCTATAATTAATATAATTGATATACATAAGATCAAGTATGAAGTAATAATCGATATATCTAATATGAAGTATATCAATCATACTACATATATTATCGATATACTTCACTTTAAGCATACCTCTAATATAATTGATATACAGAATATAATATTGATATACTAGATTTAGGTATATGAACGATCTTTTCTCATTCTTAGAATTTGTTTATTTTAAGGGTATAACTGACTTTTCATTTGTTTTGTTTGAGCTTGGTCTCCAATTTTGCTATATTTACCAACCATAAAAGTGATCGCCATATTTTTAATTAACTAATTTTTTTTGCTATATGTGGAAGCAATCCTTAATGAAATATGGCTATTTGGAGCTACATGGTAAAGTAGTGTGTGTATATACATTTGGAAGTAAAGTATTTAGTCTGTTAAGATCATGGCAATTGATGTGGCATCTTCTTTTCAAACATGGGAAATGTTGTTTTCCACAATTGCTAATAATCACTATTCTTTAAGAAGCATAACATTAATTTGAAGTTTAAATTATAAGTTTACCTGCATGAATATTGAAGATTATATCTAGTATGTCAACTTAAAAAATGTTTAATAAGTATATGAATTAGTTATTTTGAAAAAAAAAAAAGATACAGTCAACATAAAATTAAATTTTGTGTCAATTTTATATAGAATATGTCATCAAGGTTTCAAAAACGTACTCTAATCAGTTGATGATCTATTAGACACAAAATTAAAAGTCTATAGATTTATTAAAAACATTTTAAAGTTTCAAAGTTAATTAGATACAATTATAAAATTTTATGGATATAATCTTAAATCGAGTTTTGAAGAGAACAAGAAAAGAAAAATAAAAAAAGTCCTTTTCTTTCTCGTGAAGCAAGAGCAACTGCCATATTCATTTGTTTTACTTTTTTTTTCACTTTTTTTGAAGAGACAAATCCTTGTCCACATAATAGACACATCATAAAAATAAAAAAGTTAAAAATAAAAAGAAAGCATTGCGAGAGTTGTTCTTTTTTAATTGGCAATTGCCAGCCGCGTGTATAACACGTTGAAGTTGACTCGACCAAAGGCAGCTGCAGCCTCATCGCCGTCGTCCAATTCCTCCACAGCTTTTTTACTATTTTATGAGGTCACCGGTCACCGGGGGTGTTAAAAAACCCGACAATTCGATGAATCCGACGAACCCAACCCAATCCATCAGGGGTTGAGTTGGGTTGGAAAATTTCCAACCCGATCGGGTCTGGTCGGGTCTCGGGTTGACCTTTCAAATTTTTCGGGTTGACCCGATCCAATCCCGTATGCTTTATTTTTAATTTTTTTAATATATATATTAAACATAGTTTTCTAACCTAGTAGTCGCCTCCCTTGCCTCGCTGTCTTCCAGTTCCCTCACCCCCCTTCATCTTCGTCTCTGTCTTCCTCCCTCCCTCCTTTCATCTCCCCCTCTCTTCTCCCTCCCTCTTCTTCCTCTATCATTCTTTTCTTCCCCTTCTCTAGTCAACCCCCTCTCTTCTCCCTCTATTCTTCATCCTCCCCCTCCTCCCCCTCCTTTTCATCCTATTATGACGATGACTACTAGAAATACTTAAGATTACGAAGTTTTCTCTCTTACGTGACGTTCTGCAACTGAAAATGTTTAGGATTTCGACTGAATCTTATTTCGTTCGACTTCCTTCCTTCTCTCGTCTCAACCCGGCGACCCAACCCGAAAATATAATGATTGGGTTGGGTTGGGTTGGGTTGACCTTCTTGTTCGGTTCCATCGATTCTCTGTTCTACCCAACCCGAAAATTCGGGTTGGTCCAAAAAACTCCTCTAACCCAACCCAATCCATGAACACCCCTAGC